AGTATGTCACAAGCTAAAATAAACGACAAGCAAGCAATGTAGGAAGTCTAGATTAATGAAGATTAATGCTGACCATGATTTCCAACAAAGTCTATCTTTTGAAATGTGAGTCGTATTAGCATTTTAGTTCCAACACAGTCATTAAGCCGCGTGTCAAACGTTGGTTTCGTAACTAAAAAGATTTCTATTTACTGTGCAAAAGAATAGTATGTGCTCGTTTTTCATTAACTTGTGAAAAGAATGGAATCTTCTTGCAGTATTTTTCATGGAACGACATTCACATTAATCCCGTCAGAAACGTCATCCTTCTGTCATGGAGTAATTATTCTGGTGAGTTTACAACAAAGGAAGCAGTGGACTGGAGTTTCACTCTTATTGGATCTCATCAGCAGTGCATATCCTTGAACGTGCCAAGGGTTGAACTCCGGACATCTGGCATGCGAGGCGAGCGTGTTACCACCACTTCACTAGCGCATGCTGGACGCATCTGAATTTCCACGTCTGAACAAGTGAGTGTGCTCACGATTGAGCTTTGTGGATGGTATGCCCTACTCCTCGAACGAAAACCCAGATCTAATGATTAGTTGGGCCGCAGTGACTTACTGACACCCCAGTCAGGTAGCGTTACCGGCTCTCTTTGAACAATACAAATCCCTCAGTCACCCACAGCAAGGTCGAAAATGCCTATTGCCGTTAGCGTCACCGATGAGCTTACTGGGTACCTCTTATTCTGGAAGGATTTCGAAACGACTGCGTAGTTCGACTTGATATGGCACAGAGCTTATTTTGTTTGTTGACATATATGCGGCCTGTAGCGTATTTAAACTTTCAAAATTAGCGAGTCGTTTTGCACAAACCAACATTCACCGAGAAAGAGCACCGAAACTCAACAAGTTTTTTTTCAAAAAGCATCTGTTCTATACCAGTCACCAACCTGATAGCGGAAATGATATAAAGTCAGGCCCTGTGTCCAGAATTCTTCAGATATGTTTGACTATAGACTTTTCGGGTCTGCATGTGGATCCATAAACACCTCTATCCATATTATGGCGCCATGGGTTTGGTAAAATACCGAACAAAGAAAGCCTTTAATAAGACATATTTGGAAGTGAAAGCAAGATATTTTCTAAGATTCTAATAACATAAATCTGTTGTTTCTGCTACTTGCCGTAGCTAGGTCAACATTGAAAGTACTCAATCATTGTAAAGATTCACTTTGCCATTCTTTAATTAATTTTGCAGTTCTATTTAAAAGAAAAACGTTTAAGCATTGGGAAAACAGTCATGGTTCTATGAGAGAACTCATGGGCATCGGGCATTTTTTATGTTGGGTAGTTGTTCACCAGTTTGGTATTAAAATGCGTCCTTTAGTATCTACCTGAAGCCAGTTTTTTTTACTATATCAGAGATTAGAGAGAACTCATGGGCATCGGGCATTTTTTATGTTGGGTAGTTGTTCACCAGTTTGGTATTAAAATGCGTCCTTTAGTATCTACCTGAAGCCAGTTTTTTTTACTATAATCAGAGATTACACCAATGCCACTCCGCTTATTTTAGTGTCCTGCAGCAGCCGCACGTCATGACAAGAGCTGATTAATCCAAGCGAACCGCAAGGTTCGGTTTGGTACATTTCATTAAATCTTGTATTTGTGCATTCACAGATCAGTGAAATTTGCTGTTCCAAGTGCTTCATCTTATGACGAATGTTACTTGAGTACTGTGTTCGATCGTCTATATCACAATCAGGACGCATCAGTTATGGCGACTGCCCAACACAAAAGTATGGGTTTGACACCCGTCAAAACTGGTAACTCATTAGCAACGTTAGCTGACTCCATGGTGGTTATTAGAATTAAAACAACAGGCTTCTTCCTCACTCAACTCGACTTGTTGTTGTTTTAGAACAGGCTCAAAGTAGTTCAGCCTTATACACAAACACACCGGTATGATATCTGCAGAACAAATCTGTTAGTTACGTATCATTCCAATCCCACTGTAACCTATGAGCCGTTACCGCTGGTCAATGATAGGGAAGTGCATCCACAGGGTTGACATAAATACAGGTTTAACGTCACCCTCATACGGTCAACAACTCAATTTTACTGTCTGATACTGGAAACTGGTTGCAAGACCAAACATATCACTGATTAAATATTTACATACCCAGCTTGAAGACAAAACTCAACTGATAGATAGATCCAGTGGCTATTCTCCTGACTATCGACGTTTATTCGGTCCACAATGTGACAAACTGAAAAGTAGTTCCATTACTTTACTACTGAGAAGTTAATGTTTCATGAATATGGTAAAATTTATTCGTCCCGAAAACCTTTGCATGCAATAAAATGTCCTGTTTTGTCGATAAATTCAGGAAGATCCCGGCTTCGTCAGTAGCGTTCTAATTAGCAGAGATTCCCACCTATGCCTTGGGGCATTTCGAACCCTCAACTCAGGACAGACATAAATTGGTGCACTTAAAAATGCCTATTACTGTCGTGCACCTGTCAAAACGTTGAAGGCCGCTTCGCAACAGAAATTCTCCACTAAACATTATTCCATTATTACGATATGTTAGTCAGCATCTTGCTACATTTCAGTCTGCCTTGGGGAAACGCACCCGTGGCATTGGACCAACCAAAATTAGTAGCTTACACTCAGTGAAGTCGGCTGGACGAGCGTCAGTTTACACGCTTGATAAACTGCTCCCATTCCACAGGATTCGTGTTCACTGACTTGGTCCGCGCATAGAATACACTGTTGAACAAGCCACAATTGAAATAAAGGCTGAATACAGCAAATAAGGTGACTCAACACGCAACAATTTACACTGGATCACGTTGCACTAACTGAAATTTCTTCCAATGTCCATTTCTGGAACTTTTGCGATGAATTATCCCATCTTTTAGGTTGGTTGGAGAGGAAACAAATGTTTAGAAGTTCCACCGCCGTTATGTCCAAATTACAAGAAATGTCAACAGTTCATCATGTCCAGTCGGAAATATGCAGCCCTTTCATTAAGAGGTGTGGAATATTCCATATCGTACGAAGGGTTGATTAATGCACGCATCTTTGGAATATCTGAAACCATGCAGTAGCGATTACAAACCACGTCTGGGACAATTTTGTCATCACTTCCAATGGCTTGAACAAGGGACTTTTATTATGACTGACTCGCTACTGAATACTTATTTACAGTAGTTGAAAACAATGAGGCTTTGCTAGGGCGTGTTATAATCAGATGACAAACGAGAGATGCTATATCGCTTCGCCATCCCATAGAGATTAGCCATTCTCATTGCCTTGTGGTATTCTTTCGGATACCATTTTTGACGAAACTGCCTGAAAATAGTCCCTTTTGTGTGGATACGACCTCAACAGTCTTCAAAAGAATTTTCGTTAAAATGGCTGCCTCCCACACATTTTGTTCACGCACCTATGGAATGCGGGTTCACGTTACAGGCTCTTTAAAATTATTGTAAACTTAATCATAGGCAAGAGAGAACCCAAGAATAAACATTTTTATTTCTAATGGACACCTTCTGTTCCAAATTGAGATATTGTGGGAGGAGACGGAATGCGCACTCAGCGAGTGTTAACCCTATACAGCATACTCGTGAACGTGCATATTTATATCCGTCAGTCTCTGCATAAAACACGAGACCAAGTATTTGCTTGAAAAACCAGATTGGTGCATACGATATCGATTGCAATAAAGCTGACACCCATTGACTTATTTGTCTATGTAAATTCGGGCATTTTATTCTTGAAGAGGGTTGTGCAATTTGACCCTGAGCTTGGAACTAAACAAAACAATATGATAGACAGGGTGCTTAAAATATCTGACCAGATCCGTGTGAGCTTTAGTGAGAGGGATTTCAAAGGGTTAATTCCGCCGTATCTGATATTGACTTTCCATAAATCTTCTCCTTTAATACTGACGAAGGCTCATCGTGGCATTCGGTAGCCCATGTGTTTCACGACATTCACGTTGTTAAGCGAAATTTCCGGAACTTGTCCTAATCACTGCGGTGCGAAAATCGTATCTTGCTTGACCAACAGATGCATTTGCTCGTCAGAACGTTTTATATCTCCGTTTAAGGCTGCAGACGCAATACTCTTAGACCACTTAATTGTGATAGTAACACTGCCGCTGCACTACGGCGAACGCCGTTACGATTCATTTCGAAGTTCCTCGGCTGCTTATCTAATGTGTGCATGCAACTACGTAAGGTGAATACTGTTGATTGCGGAGAAAAGCTTGCACCAAAAGTCTGAAGTAAAATTTGTTCTCGCATGAGTACTTTTTTCTTTTTGGATCCATTTGGAATTCCTTGAACGGCAGGGCGCAATTCGTGAATTGTGACAAGCCAAATGAAATGACTTTACGACCAGCACCAATAGCACCCGCTTATATCGGAATAAAACCACGATAATTTGGAAGAATTTGCTGGGGATTGAACTTCCCGGACATATGCACGACTAACTCGCTTGCACGTCAGACTCTCTAATTACCGTCAGGATATGATAAGTAAAATGTCACTAAATTTTGGGGATTTCAGTCAGGTATATCACAGTGACTGTTCTCTGAGGTTGTTTACATCATAATCACATGGAATACTTTGGATTTGTCAAAGATTCTTGATGAATTGTGAGCAAACCAAGTGGATCGGAGACTGATGGATGAAAGCAAAATGACCTGAGATCCTTGCTTTTAGGTCTCCAATATCCGTACTCCAGTCTTCCCTGTACAACCAGGTATTAGTCCGGAATCAGTTTATTTATTTTTGTATGAAGAAATTACTCGGAAAACTCTTGGGCTCAGCCCCGCCCGAGGCAACGCGAGGCTAGAAGAAACCATTTTTATCACTAGACCTTGGATAAAATATCCCTTTCACGTATTTGAGGTGAATATCCCAAACTCCTCAAAAGACTGCGCACAATGGAAAAGCAACGAGCTAATCCAAATCACTCCCTTAATGTAACATTTTGTGGCAACATACTTTGGATTCCTCAGGTATACATTCGTCCATGGTTTGCGTCGTATATGAGTGGACATCGGCTTGAATTGACTGATATGAACTACTCATTTTGACGAGTGATGGCATACTTGTAACCGTGATTTAGTTGTGTTAGTAATCAGATTGTGAACTTATACCGTACGCACGCAGTTGAAAAGGTTTTTCATCCCTTCATGACTTTCTACGCCAGGCGGACGCGATGTTTCTTATATCACTTTTTCCAAAGTGTTTCTCCAAAGTTGGTGAATTTCCAGACAACGCCTTTCGAATTCTCACACGATTACTGAGCGTGAAATAGAAGCAAGCAAAATTAATGTAAACATATGTAGTCTTTGTCATCCGACAAAATCCCATACACACATAGAAAAAAACGATCCTCGAGCATGCGGTGGTCGACCCACCACAATATGTAATACAGGGGAACAATTTCAGGGCACATACTGGCACGCATATACCAAAACGGAAACCAGATGGAACTAGCTGCAACTTGTTCTCGATACATTTTGATACATAGACGTGCTAGAAAACAATGAATGTGTTTTTGATCTATATGTATATATGTATATACATTGTATGCGTCCGTGTGCAGGTCCGCGGTTGTCCGTTATGCGTTGTAGATGCCTAGAGCCATTCGCTTAACTAGTCTAAAGATTGGACGTGAGAAGATTAGGTGAATTATTTCGAAAACAAGATGCAGAGGGAAATTGAGTTGGTTCAATCGTTAATCCATCGCTTTTGGAACACATTGGGGACTCACTTGAAACAGGTACGATTAGTCAGCAGTGGATAAAGACTAAATTACACAATCACTACAAGAAAGCTTGCGCTGGAGTCCGATGAGATTGCAAGATAACGTTTTGGGTTTGGAGTCGGAATGATACATGTACACGTAAATGTTACCATGTACGGATACAAGAGATAGTAATATCAGATACGTAGGAGGACAGGAAACAGACGACTAGGCATACAAACAGTACATTTGAGTGACGAATGAAAAATCGAGCTTCTTGTCATCTACTTACAACAGGCTTTCATTTCGCCGTCTTCCCAATCAAAACTGCCAGTATTCGACTTTCCGAGACTGCATGAAAGTGTGTGCACTTCATCCGGTGATTCTTCAAACGAACTAAGCTCGCAAGAGTTTTCATGCAGAGTAGGTTCACTAATTGCTACTTTTCCGCCTGTTCGATCAATCCCGTACCAATAGTCACAAGTGCACTCTTCGTGATCCGATTCCACACTTGGATCAATGGGAATGTTTGGTTCAAGTGGAAACACTGTACTAGTTTGTTGAGATAATGAATGAGAACTGGAAGGCTTTGGATTTGTTGTGGTTCGTGGTCGCTTTTTATGGCTCGGTCTGTAATAGTCGGTGCGCTCAGTGGGAAAGATGGAATGCGACGGCGGCAGTTGAGTCTGAAAGTAACTGGCCCAAAATGGAAGAGTGGCAAGGTTTTCGTTGTAAGGAACCATATTTTGATAGACTGGAGGGTTGTCTGGACGCGGAACCATGGTGTTCATTCTTTCAGACATTTCAACATACGACTTCAGGCTTGCTAGTTGGGCTGGGGTCAGGGCAGGTGGATGGAAGACTTTGTGAGCACGGTATTCTATTGGTTTTTCCCTGAATTTCTTACCAGCAGGACGGAGGTGTGGATCTGCGGTTCCGTTTTGTCCCATGTTTGACTCAGGTTCCAGTGGGTGTACTGGATACCAGATACTTTGCGAGGTTCCACGTTCGTTATAGTAAACTGGACGTCTACATGGTCGCTTACGCATCCTCCTGAGATCAGCGTTTTCGTCTGCTAACGTCTCTGTTTCAGATCTCCACTGGGCATTTGGAGATATTGGCGAATGGTTTGGTGAGCCCGTTAGATTGTATGTTGATAACAACGGAAGGTTAGACAAAATGGACGCTTGTCCACCTGATGTGAAAACTGGGTGAAGCGTATCATTGTCGCGTTTAAACCGACGAGGACGGACCTTTCGACGTCCGTGATGGGTTTTCAAATGATGCAAGTCTTTTAATTCAAAGTCATCGGATAGCGGACCAAGTACTGTTCGAAGATCCACTGTTGAGCGACTGGTGAAGCGTTGGTTCCCAACTCCCTCTAGACGCATAAAAGCTGAGGGGTTTTTAGATCGATTCTGTTCATCATTCATCCATGATTTTTGTTCAAAAACCATTCTGTGAGAACGTAATTTGGGAGAAAACTTTATACCATTCTCCATACCATGTCTAGGAAATTGTCCAGATTGAACTGGAGCGTTTACAATGATTTCGCTTCTTGTATCATTCATGCTGATCACAGGTGGACCCGCCGGCTTCCACAACGATTCAGGCTCTTCCATCCCACTAAGTGAGGTTTGGTTTTCACCATTGTCTACAGGAAAAGTGGAGGGGAAAATAGATTCTGTCAGGGTGCCAACGTGGCCTTCTGCATTTCCAGGCCCAGTGGGTACTTGTGGTGATAATAACCATGGTGTCTGTCTAACCATGTTCTTCTGTGAAGGGCTTAGCTCGGACCCGATGGAGCTGTAAGGCGGCGTTGCAGTAGCAGTATGATGTTTCATCCCCAATTTCTTACGCGTCAATGGACAGAGATATTTATTCTTGACAATCAGTGTGTTTGGTATTGTTTCCACAAGTCCATTCGCGAATATATCTAAATTTTGATGGGATTTTACTCGGCTCCTTAAGTGTGCGAGTATAGCGGAAAAGTTCTGCCAGTCTTCACATTCCATAGCCAGTTCTCGTCTCACTTTTTCGAGGTCACTCGCAAGCAAAGCAGCTCCACTGATGTGATGATGCCGTACATTGTTCTGATATCTTCTCAATCGATCCAGCGGAAGATTCGGTAAATTCGCTAGCAGATTACACACGTCGATTACGGAGAACTGGTGGAGAGCCTATAGTGAAAAAAGTGATGTAAACGGTTAGGTTTCCAGGTTCAGATAATGCTTATGGACAAAAACGTCACTGTATTCGAACTTCTAGTAACTCACAGAGCTGACGTACGGACATCAAGGTTGAAAACCCGCAAATCTTGTGATATTGTTTAGTTCCTAAACCAGTTTCATGGCTCTTTGTAAAGTGGAGTGAACCTACGATTCGGAATGAAATTTGCGCTGTGCAAAGAGCTAAGTGGTGTGGCGAAACTTATGACCTACTTTTGACTTGCAAAACACCTAACCGTTCACATACAACTAATGCTAGCAAAAAATCACCGCAAACCCTCCGTCCTGGCACTCGTTAAGTTGAAGGAATAGAACAAAGTTAATTACCTTTGCCAGCTGCGGACCTGTCTGATTGGAGCTGGGTCCGATTGCACTCGCTTGCTCCCACATTGGATTGGCGAACACCTTATCTGCAGAGTCTGTAGAATTTGTCATTTCTCTCAAAAATATTGGTGTGCTCTTGTTCGAACTAGTCCGTTCCATAAGGCCAAACATAGTGGTTGGGCTACGTCCATCCCCACGTGTTTTGGAGTGTCCTATTTTTTCTCCCGTGTCCTGCTCCTCAATCAGTGTGGGGAGTCCTGAACCAACTGGTGGATAGAACACGATCTCGTCATTGGCATGTGTCGATACGCTTGCACTCCCGGCCAAAGCTAAAGGAGAAACAGCAAACGACTGTTATTTTACATTGTGCCTTGAGCTAGTTTATCATCGAGGACATGTGTGTGCATAAGTCATGTGGTGCTGTTCGTTCAACCCTGAGTTCCATATTTTCTTAAAAAGGTGAGGATCAAGCAATCGTTTTTACTTACTCCAACTCACTGATCGATACCCGCGGGCAGGAAGACGAAAATCTTCCCTCCTAGGATAAACGACGCACTGACGGTCAAATTTCAAGAAGGTGGCAATTGATGAAAAGGTAAAGAAGGCAGCGTTTGTTTTGTAACATTACGTGCCATTTAGTTACCATTTAGTTATCAGAATCCGTACCACAATAAGTTCATGCTTGCAGCCTCACTAATTAGGGGATCTTGCCGCTCTGTTTGTAAATGTGATAAAGTTTTGCAGCAAGGTTTCAGGCTTGCTTTAAGTCTACTTTTGAGCTGTGCCATATATTGTTCCTTTCAATTTTCATGGTCTAACCCGAAGCCTTCTTGAATATCATATCGTTGTGTAGTAAGAAGGACAAAGTTATATATGCCTCCTTGATTAAGGGTAGTGCAGCATACTTTCATCACTTTTATCGTAGTTTTTGACTACTTAAGCAACTGCTAGTAGTGAGTCATTAGTGATAGTACAGGCACTCTGCTCGGCACGCTCCAACTTCGGTTCCATGAAAGGTGCCAAGTGGAACAGTACATATTTTTTTCCTACCACAGGACTTAGTACAAACTGACTTATCTTCCAACAGGCATCAACATTATATCCAAAATCTTGGGTGACGCCTCAGTCACTACAGGAGAGTAGCCCACTAAACATTCGCCTAACGAAGCTGCGTGTTAAAAATCATACCAGGATCTTACCAGGTAAGTGGCAATACAGTCTACTAGGCCCACCCGTCGGCCAGAGTCCAGTAAGTGCAACACTGACAAGCTCAAGTGGGGAAACAAACTCACAGGTGTGCCACTCACCAAGAATGAGGTTTAAACAAGTATTGATTAGTAGGTTACGTTCTTGTGAGCATTGATTATGATATACAGATGGGAAATGGTTCGCTCTGAGGAGCGGTAAGGGTTACAACAGCTTGATAGCAGGAAGAAATGGAATAATTTCACCGAATTATTGCTTGAGTACCAACCTATATACGAAAAATCCATATTGGAATGGTGCTTGCACAATGAGGCGTAGTCGTTCAGTAATGAATAATAAAAAACCCTATGATTTCCGTAATATACTTTGCAACAATTTAAATTCACCGTTTTACTGTGTCACGCCTACGCAGACTTCGTGGATTAATCTGTGAATTTCCTCATCTAATCTCAACAGTTCCGAAGCCTCCAGCGAATATCTGGGTCTGCTCAATTTTCTTTCGAAGATTGACATTTCTAAATTTGAAGAGTTGCTGACGTAAAAATGACGGATGACCGTAAAATGTATTGTGTACTACTCGTGCGACGTGTTCTCCCGTGACGAATGTCTAAACTTTATCTGAAGTTGAACTTTCTGCAAATCATTCGCCTCCATTACGTCGTAAACCTCTAGCTGAAAGCTGATAGGTGCATGAAATCCCGTTTAATGGGACACGAAGTTAGAAATAATTGTTATTGAAAACGTTGTGTATGATGCTGAGGTGTCCGTTCAGGGTATTTACAGAAGTAACGGTCTACCAAAACACCGATGCTCTAATTTATAGTTCAACCTTGGCAGGAAAACGTGTTCGCTGGTGTTCTGGTCAATTTAAGGACAAACATAGCGGCACATTCACGCATCATTATCCAAACGAGCCTGAAATGAAGAGTTGCGGATAAGCTCGAAGGCTTCAACTCCTGAAACCCCGACAATATTTAGTTCAGTCCTACAAATTAATTTCACACCTTCTTACAGACTTCAAACAGCCCTTGCCTTGTTAAAATATAAGAGAACGCAGCAGATCGTCGCCAAATGTTTACAAAAGCCCTCATTCTGAATTTTTCGCGAAGGCAGTATGTAAACGTTAGTTGGTATATGATCATTTATGGTATATGACACGCCCAGACTCAATCAATAATTTTGCATTATTGACAGATGCAATCATGCGGGCTGTGCAAAAGTACTCAATAGTAAAGTAGACAGAAAAGATGTTTTCTTGCTTACAGAGAACTGAACGATTCAGAACCACTCACCTCGGATGCAATGAAGTAAATATGGGTTGTGCATCAGAATGCAAGAAGTTAATTTCTTCAGCGTCATCAGCGGCAACGAAGGGTTCGACTTAATGTAGGACTCCAAGCGCTCCAAACTGCGATCATCGGCCATTAATGGTTCTAACAACTCCAATGTTTCACCAATACTCGATTTCACCTAAAAGGATCGATATGCAAAACTTTGCTTCGGTAACCATCTGCAAGTTGCAAAATACATCTGAGACAAACTAATCAGTGTTACGTGGAGTCTATTTGGGTTGAGTAAGTGGATTGCATTGCATAACACTACATCAGTCACAGTTTGGTCAATGTACTGTAAATTGACGTTGCACCCTTTCCAATAAGATAGAACATCCAATCTTTTCACTACATACAGTCATGAAAAATGAGCAGCTGACCAGACTCTTGTAAGTTTTGACAGTCAAAGTCACCGTAAATGTTTAGCTTGTGATTCACCTTGAGACACTCGTTCATTTTGAAAGGCTGTTAGAATTTAGTCGTGACTATTGTCATCAATATCAGGCTCCACTGGCAAGTCGCCCTCGATAGGTTCCACTTATTTTTCTATAGATCAAAAACCTTTCTTCCCAATCATAACTAGATAAGAGTAAACATTATGGACATTATAGACTGACCATTTCACGCCATCCAGCTGTCAAGATTGGCGAACAAACCAACAACCTAGGACAATACAATGACGTTGGTTATCGGCGTTCAAAATGCTAAAACCTGAGCATAAGATGGGTCAAGACAGGTTACGAAAATACATCCAAGTATCGAAAAGGCAAGAGCAGAATGAAATAAATACTCGCAGCTATCGAATAGGGAACGTCACCTAGCAGTTTCCACTAAACATTTCCTCGGCGATATCAGGACATTTCAGATGCAGCATCCGAAGCATTTCTCCTACAGCCTTAAACTAGAAAAAGGTCGCACGATTCCTCCATCTAACAGGTGAGAATCAAGCAGCAAGCCAAATTGGAGTGCGAGTTGGTCATACTATTATTCTTCTAGTCGTCTGCAGATAGTGTGACCTTCAACTGCTAACCGAAATAGCACAGGTTAAAACCCCGCTAAAACTTTATAGGAAACTCAGTGCTTACGACTATCAGCAACTATCTGCAATTTGTCGCTAAACAGTGGCTCGCCAGGCAAAGTGCAGTCCTTTTTTAGTTGAATTTCGGTTTTTGTCGCTACAGTGTAGTAAGTGTTGGAAGTGGTAGTAATTAGTAGTATGCTCGGTCCTTGGGTTGTCAGCTGGTTGCACCGGAGCAACCACTGAATTATCACAGGCTTGCCTCAAAAGTTTATGAAGCTCTCTGTTTAGTCTCATTACGGATAACCTTGTTAAAGAGCATCAGGCGTTTCACCTGTCCACCTTCGAGTCATTCATGAGGTCAGTAATGTCAAAATGGGCAAGCTGATGTGCTAATTACTGATTTAAAACTTATTAGGAACGTCATATTCAACGACGGTAACGACTCGCCAACAAATTATTCAGAAGGAATACTTAAAGAGCGAAATTACCTGATGCAGACAGGCTTCAAGATTAACCAGTGCGTCATTTGCGGGAACAGTTCGTGGAAGCTGACCCCTTGTATGTTCTTCGATGTTGAGGACCATCCAAGCCATGTGGTAGGGCCAGTAGTGAACGAGACTGATCCAGAAAACCACATCATCCAATGGAATGTCCAAGTTACACAAACGCAGAAAGCGGCCTGTAATGCAAAAGGGTCAGGCAATGAACATCGAAAATGCTTTCCAGTAAACCCACAATGGCCATTGTTTATGAATATGCGTGTAAATATATTCAAGGATAGTTCATAGGATGTTTATATAGATTGATTCCAGCAATCTGTTGGACCACGTCGAGTTACGCGCAAAACTCCAAAAGCCAAATCTTTCAAATGAAAGTTTATCTACAAATGCGGTACTATAAGTACAATAATAAAATGATAAAAATTTACAAACCCTAAATCGTGAGACTAGGCCGGCATCTATACACCGGTTTAGGAACTGCCAGTTCCTATCTCGAAGTCCACACCGATTCAAAGCCACGTGTTTACAAGCTAGCGAAACCACGTGTGAACTTAAACAAGACGTCCGATGAAAAGGTCAAAGAACGGTTTACGTTCAGGTCAAAAACGAGAAGGGTGGTATAGGCGCAAACCAAAATAACAAAAAAAGAGAGAATCGCGTTGAAAGAAGAAAGAAATCAACGGTTTAAACGTTAGGCGTTTAACATATACGTAAAAGATGATATGTTACTTAAATCTGATGTTACTTTTCTGACGGACTACCTCAAAATCGACGACAAGAGCAAAGTTGAAGGATTAATCCAAACGGTCCAAAAAGGATATATGAAACACTGCTTCCGGAGCACCTGATGCCCTTGGTCAGTGATTAGATTCGACAGATTGTGGCTTAATTACCAAGGCATCATTCATTGACCTCACTGACTTCGCTAGCGCCAAAATCCCGATTTTATTCCTATTTTAGATATCCGGTTGGTAAGTCCAACTTGTCAAATCTTCGATGGGAACGTTTAGCTGGTTAACCTTCTTTAATTTGCACTTACCCTTGTTTCTATCACTTGCCCAGGTGACTAGCACCAAGTATTCTTTCTTAAGCAATGGTAACATATGAAATTCACAGACTGCCTCGGTTGCAAAGAGAACGTTAGTAAATTATGTGCTTCAGCTGGAAGTGGCATAGGAAGAAATTGGCTGAGAGCATGCAACATTCAAAAACCCACTTGTTTGTATGAGTTCTTGAGCACTGTGTGCCCAACTGAGGGATACAACTAACTCCTAAGGTGTGTTTAAGGCCAAAGCTATAATTACAGCACACCTTCTGTTGGGGACTGTAATTTTCCATGCATGAATAAGCGCTTGTGCCCCAGGCGTGAGTGAAAAATAATCACTATCATTTCCGTGCCTTTCAGATGCTCATTGATTTGAGCAGTAGCATGTGCGGGAAGTACCTGTGCTTGGATGACCCGATGATGTTGGCTCAATAGCATTACACGAGATAATTCGCGAAATGCGGTTTTCCGTATTATACTGGAACTTCTCGTGACGTAACACCGGTCTTGAACACCGGTAACCTATATGAAAAGCAGAATATAATTAATTGACGCAACTTCAGTCACGTGAAAAATACTTGAGGCCGATTGAGTAATCATCGTTTTCGAAAGTTTGGTGACAATCGGTAAATTTATTGCTGAGCAGCGTTCCGCTTTTGACACAAAAGCTTCGTCAGGCCAAGTGACCAGGTTCCGAGGTTGGTCGAGATTTAACATGGAGAGAGAAACAATCAGCTAAGTCAGGCTAAATCTCTGCTGGGTGTTGGCCGAGGTACTTTTGTTTGTTAGGGTGGGTGAACAAGTGTTAGGCCGAAGGGGAACCTACATGTGTTTGGGTCCAGTCTAGGGTCTAGTTCTTCTTGTTCAGTCCATTTGATGGCCGCTCTTGAACGTCGTTTGAACTTTCTGTCCGTCTGTGTGGGTGAGCGAGTGCCAACATAGTCGTGTAAGAGGGATGCTGTGACCTTTGTTCGGGTCAGGATTTCCACCCCCACCCGCGGTTTTCGCTAATGATTCTACGTGGATTGACAACCACACAGTCACGTTTCAAGTCAGCTTATCTAAGACCGCTTTCCATACACTCGCCAGTTCCACACCCTCGATTCTATTCAATCTGTAATGCCGCCTCGGCTATCAGCCGCTGTGGTATGAATCGCAGTCTCCGCCGACACCCAACAGTGATTCAGTTTGACTTAGCTGATTGGTTCTCCTTCCACCTTAAATCTCGACCAACCTCGGAACCTAGTCACTTGGCCGGACGGAGCTTTTGTGTCACAAGCGAAACGTTGGCCAGCAACAAATCTCCCGATTGTCACTAAACTGCTTCAAAAAATTGACGTAACTGTTTGGTATCAAACCAATTCACTTTGATTACAGTTACCTTTATTCTTGTTCACTCCACCTAACCGTTTGGGATTTTATCGCACAGTAGCATGCCTGAAGACATGAGTTTACACTCTTTAGCCACTGCAGTCACCAGAGTAACAACACTTCATTCAATTCTGTTGAGAACCTTTGAGGTGTTGGGTGCATCATACGAAAGGAAAGAGGGCGAGTACGCTTACTGGTGAATGCCATGGCAGCCACAAGTTGTTTGCATGTCTTCCTATTCCAGTCAGCCAAAGGATTATCATCTTGGATGAAGAGACCAGCAATGCCAGCCGAACATTCTGCGGCTCGGCTAACCGTAGAACTGCTTCTGGTAAACGAGAGTTTCTTCACTTTCAGTGGCAATCCGATTGATTTGCAAGAACTTTTCGGGGACGTTGGCACACTTGTGCGATTCGCAAATAGAGCTCTGGGCGTGTATGTTGTATCCGTTGATCTCCGGAATGTTGCAAAGCCTAGTTGATTTCCGGCTTCACAAAATGGGGTCTAAAAGGAGAAAAATGAATAATCCTGCGTAGAGGAAGACACCCACAGTCAGTAAAATGTCGCCCGGTCCAAAATAATTGAGTCCAAAGTGATGAAAAACATAATCCACCATGATTTACTGCTAAAGCCATTTATTTTGCAGCACACAATGTAAATTGATCTCCGAATCAGCAGAAATCCATATAATTCGATTTTGATACATAGTTGATATCTACGTCTACATTTTCCTGAGCTAATAAGACGAAACTCCGTTGATACGACATACTCGGCCGCTAATATGTGTTTAGCATCAACTTGCTGCCTGAATGATCAATTGCCACGTTCTACCACCAGCCTTTGTGTGAACTCAGTTGTATGCGCGTGCCGAGCATCATATGTTGGTTGCATGACAAGGCATTTGTCGGACAGAACGCGAGAACACAATTCCGTATCTCTGAGTGGTAATGGGAAGAAACCGTGCTCAAGCGCGATTGCATCACATTTGACCGAAACCAGTCATGTTATAGACAAGGAACAAGCCTTCAGCATCATATACCGGGTACCTATGAACCGATCACGACTGGTACGATCTAGACTACTATCGACCGCAGAGGCGATTGCTGGATCCGTAACTTTGCATCCAAAAGAAACTTGGGCGAACTCTGAACTTGAACTGGCCTACGAAGCATCCAGTCCCACAAATCTGTGTGACATTGAGGTCACTTACTTGACTCCGTGACCCATTGACCCATCCCTAATCCCAACCCTCTTCTTTTGATTCCTATTTCTCTAAAGTGTATGAGCGCCGATCACTTCTATTTCTCTAAAGTGTATGTAGCGCCGATCTTAACATGTTCCACGCGATCTCTGCTACCAAGTGAATTTGTGGCGTATTAACCGAGAGGAACAATCACAGAAAACAAGCTTTGTTCGCTATCTTTTTCGTTCTCATGACTACCATGGGTATATTCAGCCACTTAATAAGATGTACCTCCTGACGTATTAAGCAGTTTTCACTACTTCAACATATATTGCGTTTAAGTGACTCAGGATTGGATGGGACATCTTCGAAAAACGGATAAAAACATAAAGTGCAACAAAACTCAAATGCATTTTTATTGAAAAGGACCGCAGAGGGAAACGCGAGTTTATTTCTTCTGAAGATGTTTAACCTTCTTCTCCTACAAGGCAATATAGCTATTAACTGATTACTCCTCTGTGGATTTTTCAACTGTCAGGCTCTTTTAGTGGGGTTGCTCTTGAGATACTGACGTAGTACCTAGTTAGCGAAAGATGACCCTTAAGCAACAAAGTTCGACGTCCTCAATCAATTTTCTAATCAATTCAATTAACTGTTGCCTATCTTTGTGAACAAAATACGAAAAATAATCAAGTATATCTATAAGACTGTGACAGCAGTGCAGAAGAATCACTGTATATATTAACTCCAAAACAAGATTTATCCGGCACTTCCGCAGAAAATCCAATTTTCGGGTCGCACTATTCAGTGCTGAATGAAAGGCAAATCGTGTGTCTGCTGACTGTCATGTTTCCATTTGGACTAAACTACGCTCCCCTTTTCCATAAACGCCCATAAATACCAATAAACCTGAGATTCTGTTGATCAGTAGGGACCATCTTGAAGCAAATAGTGCACAAAGATCGTATCAGGTGAAAGGTGATAAATCTATCAATTTTAACCTGAATCTAGCAAAATGGACAATCTGCATTGGAAATCCAGGTAAAATCTTGCATCCTGATCATTCCCGGTGATTTGGTACACTAAATATGTATTCTGTCAGACTGCATTTGGTTTACTTTGCGTGCGTGTGGTACACTTGTTTTTGCACGCGTGTATTTCAATTAGGCTGGTGATACTCCGGAGTTCACTCACTAATTACCGTGGCGCCGAGTAAATTGCTGCGCACTGTCTCGTGCCTAGCGTAATCAGAGCTATGAAACAGGCAAAGATTTCTTTGTTATTAGATATTGTTCGTGCAATTTTTTTTTAAATCGGCTGCTACCCAATAAAATCTCAGATTTGCATCGATCTCAAGCTCGACTGGTTGCGCTAATAATGTTTTTTCTGTTACTCCTTCTGATAGTTCGCACATCTTTCAGCCATTACGGCTATATATATGAAACGGACAACTGTTAACAGGATAAAACAATTGTCTCAAATAAACGTTCGGCCTGGGCAACTTAAGGTGAACTAAGATTCAACAATCGCCCAACCATGAGCTTGTGTCTTTCGATACTTTGGACAATCACTGTAGTTATGCATACACACTTTCATGGGTAATTTAATTACCACGTAATTCGGGGAAGTCTGAGAGTAACCATTGGGAGAAGTGATTATCGAATTAAGCTGTGGCTGCTGTCGCTGATGGGCTGTACAAGGAGCTTCGCAGTGCTCCACATCCGAGCAGACTGGTGTGTCCAGATAGATGGGCAGCTGTATGCTTGTTCGAACCAGATGCAGATTGTCGTTTAGCGTTTTTGAGACAACTCTCGCTAGTTGGACACTGCTCGCAGCCGGGTAGGCGTTGGTCGGATGAAAAATTGCGCCTGCAGCAACTTCACCCAAAAGAACCTGTGGTTACAAATGGAAAGTGACACGCCTGTACTCTCACGACCATGTGGCATGCTTTAACATAAAAAAACCAGGCGAAATGTAGATTGCCTGGAAATCGATGAACATTTAAGGAAATCCAATAAATGGTGTACCGTTTTAAAATACCATCACAAAAGCGCTACAAAGTGTTGAAATTACAGTGGTCTAAACTATAAACTATAGTTAGCTTAAAACCCTTTTTATTCCCATAATATTAAACCATTCATTTACGTCCCGCAAAGGAAAGCGTTTTTTCGGATACAAAAAACTGTCGGCAATATAGTCCACAAAGCCGCGTTTAATTCTGTTCCAGTGAGGATAGACTTCGTCACAAATTTTTATTAGCAACTTAAAAGCTCTAAAATCATCAATCAGCAAGATTATACCGTTGCTTAGTTTGAGCCGGTTCATTCATGATGAAAAGAATGGAGCTGCCATTCGAGATATTCGCTGGTTAGTTATTTCAGGGTCTTTTTATTCTCATTTGGAATTTCCAGTAAAGCACACTTTACGAGGTTTGAAAAATGCCAAAACCGGTACCTCCGTGGTTGATATGCTACTCTGTCTTGCATCAAGGGATACATGATCCATATCGTGCTTACCCAAGAGATTGAGCGCACGAAATATCTTTTACTCTTCAGCGACATTTCCGACCTCATAAAGTGTGGCGTTGAATGGCTAATCCCTAACTAATGGAAATGTTATGCACCTACGAAAGCAATTATTTTTTGCTAATTCTGTAAAAATGGAACAGATAACTTTTGCCTTTAAATAACATGAGCGATTTTCAACAGCAATTAAAAGATTGCCAGCCAAATATTCCACTATGAATCGCGAATCAATTAGGGCTAATAACAGTCGTTGATTGGTGGCACCCTTTTGGGGACCTAGTTGCCTTTTTCAGCCAAAGGAAATACAAGGTTGGGATGCGGCCCAAGTGTGAACAGAAGCGGTCAAGCTGCCTGGGTTAGTTCGAACCGCGAACTTTCTTTTCGGCAAGTTCCCTCCCTTTACCATTGAATTACCTCGGGCTGTACGATAATCACCGTTATCGCTGTGTTAAAATTTTCATCTTGAGTCATGCCAGGCGAATTTATAAATGGTCGACTGTTCACACTTATTGTCTACGTATTCCCATCAAAATTTGCGCCATATGACGAGTTATGTCCGGCATACCTCACACGGTCTGGGTATCTGGAAACATCCATTAGACTCCCAACGATTTATCAACGCCATCTCACAAACGCGCAGCCGTAACTAACAGAGTTTTGAAATACTCTGGCAGGCTTAGATAAGATGATGAGACCTGATCCTTGCACGTGACCCGACTCACTATTTGAGACAGGATATTAATTTTAACATAACAATTTTGATGCAATTTTACCGCCAAATATTTAGAAATTCACGCTTTATCGCTCCAACTGGACCATATTCGTATATCTTATGATAAACGCAGTTGTTTTAGCTGATACCAGAGATTTGGTAGGTGTTTGATTGTGAGAACTTTGCATTCAAAGGCTATTGTGACGAAAAAACAAAAGTTCGATCGCAAGACCAAACTCATCACAGTCAGAGCTGACTACATATTGTGAAACTTTGTGACAAGATGCGCACAATTTCGACAACGGTACGTATGAAATGACAGCTATCTGTTATAGACGTGCAAGATTCTACTTGAATGCTTGCTTTTTTTGTTATTAGAAATCTCTACTGTGTAATGAGACATGGGTGAGAATTTCACTGAAAAACTGTTCATATTGTCCTGGTAAAACAAGCTCACAATCGCTCATTACAATGTATTATTTATTTAACAGTTCCAAAAGAATGGCGCTGGGTGAAAAAGCGGCCTCAGTTTCGTCACGGACTTGATTAAGGGTTGATTTCATGGCATGCTTGTTGGAACAAACCGTTTTGTCATTAGTTGCGGAGAACTAAGTAATGGTAATACTTCCGACAGAACCCCAATCCTCACACTTTAATGTCTTGTCTCTTGCACAACATTTCATCTTTAAAACCTGAAATTAATCGAATCTGCAAAGCTTGTGAAAACTAGTGTTGGCATTGGATGGGAGTAAAGTGTTGCCGAATACACTTGCAACTTTTTTTGTGCACGTAAAGTTCTGTCTCATTCTGACCAAGCGCTTAGAAGGGTTTAGTTTAAAAAAAGGCTTATTTATGAGTTCATTTGAGTTCCTTTTTTCCCGAACATAGTTGAATGAGATTTTGTCAACTACTCCTTTATGGTTACCCTTGGGAAATAAGTTATCAGCTGCACGTGTGCATGTATCATATTCTGCACTGCCTCGTTACACAAAACCCAAGTTCGACATTCAGTTGATCAGTAAAACTGTTTACGTGTTTGCAATCAGAAAAGATATGTTTCTTTTGTCAGAGGCTCGAGATAACGCTCCTGTGGTTGTACGATGTTTATTTACCCACAACTGATTTGGAGAGGCAGGCAAAAAACATTCAGGCAAATAACAAACAGTCCTTGTTTTCTCCTCAAATAAAGAGATCCTTGACCACTACCTACACCTTGTCGATTTTGTTTAAAATAGAACACCGTTGGAGAGTTATTTTTCCGCAGTTGCTGCATGCATTGGCGTGTGATTCAATCGATCAGAATCGATTAGCGGATGGATGCGATTGGAGGTGTGACATCTGCCGTTGTCTTAAACAACTACGACCGGCCCTGAACTCCTTGAAGTTTATGTCAACCTTGTAGGGGATTTGCGAACTGCAATCTTTTGTAGACGAATGTGCGTTTATAAGGATAGAATCAAGTCAATTTCATCTCTCGTATATGACATCCCTAAACAGAATATGCTACGAATAGCACCTCGTATTACGGTTGGCGATATGTGTTTTTTTGTCAGAACGCTGTGGTCATAAGGCTTGTGCAGGATCTCCAAAAGTCAATATCGCGCAGGCTCTTATTTAGCACACTAAGGTGAAAAATATCGAAAACTAAGAGTTTTAGGTCAGTATTTCGTCCGCACCAAAATACTTTGCAGCTAGGTGTATTTTGTCATGGGACGCTGTTCTTCGACTTTTGTACACGCTGTCTAAACTAATTTTCTCATCCATCTGAAAGACCCCAAGGCAAGTCCACCTGCATTTTGCGAACGCTCCGGCCGAATCCAGTAATTCAACAAGTTGCGTTTACGGCAATTAAGTATAATTTTCCCCGTCTATTGAAAATGAAACGCTCAAACCCAACGAGTCGATGGACATCTTATGTCGGTGACCCAGGAAAGATGTAGGAAAATAATACGACCCTATTGCCTCGTAGAAAGTAACGAACTCGGTAAACGAATGCTTTTACTAAAAATTCCATGGCTTGCTCAAGGGGCAAAGAATTTTGAGTAGAGTTCAATTTGATGCCAGTAGGTCTTACCAATGCATAGATTGTTTCCGCATCACAATCACAAGTGTCTCAAAAAGAATATGTACTTAGTGTGAAAGCTCTGGACGCTTGGTAAGAGTAGATATATCTATGATACATCTATCGATAGCAATCCGAGCACATTCGTCTTGCAAGGAATACTGATCCTTGCTGGTTACACGAATGCTCAAGTCGGTAGTCTGAGCTCTTTGGAAACACATTTGGACGGTTGATTCGGAGTTGATTTTCGTTGCACAGTCAACAAGCTGCAAATCACCCACTTGTTTGCTGACCATGAACTTCCGGCATAAACGTGCACATCACCTGGCGACCATCAACTGCGAATGAAGCTTGGATCACTTGGCTATCAGCCGTCAGTAGAGAGCCACAATTTAAAACCGTCGTTTTTCTGGGACATACAACCAGATTCCCATCTTGCTATGTTGGGTGCACACCAGACAGTTTGTTTCCCTTCAGGTATTAGCAATATCAATCCACCATCCTCGAAAAAATGCCACAGGTCAACAATACTACTCTGAGCTAGCGATATTACCCTCTGCAGTAAACCACCAGTGTAGCGGTGTACCGGTGATACTATTGGTCGGGAGGCACGCGAGTAGTGTGTTGTTCGTAGAATTTTGCTTTGCGTCGATCGAAAAATGGAATTCTGTTGCGGAATTCGCGGGGCCACTTTGTAACATTTGCTCTTATTTGACCGACGAATGATTGGAGGCAATGCATCTCCAAGAAGACTCGTTCGGGAGAAGATCTGTGTCCAGTTTTTGTAACT